GTTGTCCGCGTTCTGCATGAAAACGTCCTCGTCACTCGATGCCGTCTCCGCGGACACTGGGTCGCTGGTGTGATAGTGGGATGTGCTCAGCTCTGAGTCGCCTGCGTCCTGGCCGTCGTTGCTGTCAGAAACGTGCGAGTCCTCCTCCTCGACGGTCTTAGCGACGCTGCGCTCATCCTTCTCCTCGTGACTCGCAGTTCCGCTGAACATCTCGTCTGCGAGCTCGTCCTGCTCCTCGGACTGTCCGACGGGGAAGGCACTCGTGACCGGTGCCGGGAAATCCAGCAATGACACGCACGGATGCCCGGACGCAGCCGGGACCAACAGCTTGGTCACACCATTCGCCGTGAAAGTACCGCTCCTGAAGCTGATTGCTGCGTCCCACTCTGCCATCTCATCAGGGCCGATGAGACCTGGCACCTCGGCATCGACCTCGGAGATCACAACTTCGCCCTGCGTACCGTTGATGCCGACTGTGTAGCACCACGCACGCTCTGACATGAGCGGCACGCCTGGGCCGAACTTGAAGTACTCGCGCTGATTGATGCTGTGGTACGGCACGCCCATGGCATCCAAAGTCTTCTGCAGCTCGACATGCCACGGACGTCCACCGACAGCCCGCTTGCAGCCCGTGTCAATCATAGCCAACCCCGCGGGCAAGACAACAAGCATGACGGACTGCTCATCTACCACCTTGCGGGGGCACTCCTCTCGGGTGGTGACATGTGGGCCGCAGATCCCCCTTTTGCTGCCCAAGGGTCTGCGCCCTTTGCTGCCCAGGGGTCCGCGCCCCCTTTGACGGCAACATCCTCCCCAGTCGGGGCGGCAGACGTTAGTCCTGGCACAGCTCCGTCTGGGGTGTTCTTGGAAGGTTCCCCTTCATCCTTCTTGGGCTTCTCCAACGTGTAATGAATCACCGACTTCAGCGAACACTTCTTGCACTTCGCGAAGATCACGGTGCCGTTTGACTGCCACTTCAACTCGCCCACAGGATGAACACATTCAGCCTGCTGCTGCATGAGCTCGGGGTCGAACTTCGCCTTCGGGCCTGGAACCAGCCTCTCGCCGTCGAACTGCGAGTCGTACATGGCTCGATGCATCTGCTGCTTCTCCAGGTCACTCTGCGTGGCACCGACACTCATGACGTAGCTCCGTCCAGAGGCGGTGACTACACGCGGGACTCCAGATGCAGCTGAAGATGCCGTCGCAGCGGCAGGGGCACCTGAGCTTGCGGCTCCTGGAGGCGCTGGAAGGTGGACACGCCGTCGTATTGCCTCCATGTTCTTCCACACGCTTCCGACTCCCTGCTGCTCAGGAGATGTGGGCAGGGCACGCTCTGGCAGAGGTGCCTGCTCACGTCGCTTCTGTAGGCCGTCGTAGACCTCGCATGGTTCAATCGGGTGTGCATCTCCATCTCCTGTTTCTCTATCAGCGCGAGGCGATCCAGCACTCAGCTTTATCACGCTGCAAAACCTCTAGTCGCTTCTTTTCCTCGCTCTTTCTCACTTCCTCGGAGGCTCCTGCCATGACCCAGTCCTCTTCCTTAGGGACAGCGGCGGCCTCCCCAGTCGGAGCGGCAGACGTTAGTCCAGGCACAGCTCCGTCTGGGGATTCATTGGTCTTCGATGCTCCCTTTGCCGACGCCTCCACCACGTATGCGGGATGGGCCCTCGCAGGGCCGCTGGATAAGGAGAAATCTGGCTTCTCGCAGCGGCGCGTGTAGAGATTGAGGCGCACGATGCGATCGTTCTTAGCGATGAAGTGGATGGTTGCCGGCGGCGCCAGGTAATCCCTGAAGATATCCCGACGCGGATACCAGCTGCAGAAGATCGCGTCCATCTCCTCTGGCGTGAACGGCACCTCCTTATCCTCACGCCGCTGGTCGTTGTCGTCCTCGGTGGCCTCAGGATCCTCGCTGGCCTCGTCCTCGTTCTTCACCTCCTTGCTGCTTCTTGCCTTCTTTCTCTCTTTCTTCTCTTCTTTGCTGCTCCTCGCCTTCTTCTTCTTCTCTTTCTTTTCTTCCTTTTCTTCCTTCTCACCGCGTTCTTCTAGTGGACTCCGCTTCCCTTTCTTCACACCGCGGCCTCCTGGTGTACTCCGCGACCTTGAACGCGAGGAAGCCTCCGCCTCGGGCGGAGGAAGGGCGCGAGGCTCGCGAAGAACAGCTCCCCGATCACGCTGGCGGTCGCCCCGACGATCTCGATGATGATCTTCACGCTGCTTGGTGTCACGACTCCCGCCTTCACCGCGCCGATCGTCACGGGGCTTGGTATCACGATTGCCGCCCATCACGATCTTGAATATAGTTGCCGTGATCTCGTCGAGATCCACCTCAGCCGCCGTACAATGCCTCGATGTGGTCAGCTGCAGGCGCACGAGCCGACCCTGGACGAAGTCGAGGCTCTCGAAGCGGCCTTGCTTGAAGAAGATAGGCTTCTTGTTCGTCGCGCGCTCCACGATGTGATGGACCGTGGCAAGGTCAGGAAACTCCAACTCCACGCTGTGCCCCTTTGCGTGGGTGTTGGCCAGAATGCAATGGCAACGCACGCATGCACCCTCGTCCTCCTGATCCTCCCCGCGCCTGGCACGGGCGCGCGCACGTTCATCGCTGCTCTGTGCGGCCCCTGGGCCGTCGTCGGCGTCCTGGCGTAGGCTCGGCGCAGGCGTGCTTTTGGGTCTGGGGTGCATAACGATCCGCTCTGGCGCGTCCGCTCGACCCTCCACTGGATGCCTCTGGGCAGGCACCGACTGGGGAGCACGGCGCCATGGAGCGCGGCCACGACGCTCCTCGGCACTGCCTGCCATGCCAACCCAGTGGGCGATCGGTCCATGCACCTGCCTAGGCGCCGGCGGCTTCACAGAGGTCCGCTGGTTGGGCGACGCTGGCTGGCCATTCTTAGGCCCGATCTTGTTGTACGGCTCGCGCTCGCCACTCTTCACCTTGGGGCACTCCGGGTCGCCACGCCAGTGGCCAGGCTGATCGCAGTCAGCACACCGGCAGTTAGCCTTGCGCTGGTCTGTCGGCTTCCGACCAGCCTGGAAGGAGCCGCTAGCGTTGATCTTCTTGGGGTCCCGCTGCCGAGGAGCAACGAACCCGCGCTTCTGACGCTGTACCGCCGTCTTCTGCTTGGCCCTCCAGCCGGCCAAGAACGCTTCCTGAAGATCCTCCGGTGCCTCGTACCCCTCGTCGTCAGGCCCGTCGTTGTCCGACACCAGCTCCTCGTCGACCTCAGCGCCGTCCTCGAAGAGGGTGCCCTCGGCCCCTCCATGGTCTCCATCGTCCTGGTCGTCTGCTTCATCTTCGTCATGATGCGCCTCCTCGAGGTCGCCGTGGTGTTCATCGTAGTCTTCGCCGTTCTCTACCTCGTGTACGTGCTGGCCAGGGCGTCCTCGCAGCACGCATGGCCTACGAGCCATGGGAGGGTGCGGATAGCGACCGCCCGAACTCCCAGAGGAGCGCCCGTGCTCACGCTGCGCCGCAACCGGCGAGCGGCGAGGGAGCACTGAGCGCTTCTCGGTGTCGTGCACCTTCGAATAGGCTGCCTTCAGCACAACCTCCATCCGCTTCGAGTCGTAGATGCCGCCACAGTTGAAGAGCACCTGCGCTCGCTCCTTCTGCGACAGTCCAGCGCCACGAAGCATCTTGCTTGCCAATGCGCGATCGCTGATCGCTGATGTGGGATCCTCGAGCTGTAACTCCATGCGCTTCTTGCGCAGGTACGTGGTCCAATCCACGATCGGCTGCCCAGCTCGACGGTGTGCTCGCTCCCAATCCTGATGCACCTGATCGAGGCGCTCGTGATCCATCTTCTCGAAGGCGTCGTCGTAGATAGCAAAGATGGTCTCGAGCGTCTCCTCGCGTCGGAGGTCCGACGCGCCAAGCACCTCGATGAGCTCTTTGGCTCGACCTGTCACTTGACTGTAGATGATCAGGCCCAGCTCCACGTCTGAGAGCTGATTGAGGTTGCGGATGACTTCAACCTCCTTGCGCCACTCTCGGTACTTCTTAGTACTCGTACCGACTCCACCATCGAACTCTGGGAGCCTCACCTGCGACAGCAGTAGACGTGTACGTCTGGGACCGCCGTCGCCACGATCCCGATGCAAGGCCAAGAGCTCCCGCCGGGTCTCGGCCATCACGCGCAGGACTGCATGCAGGTCCGGGGGACCTGTGCCTGCGGAGGACGCCGCCTCCACGTCTGAGCCGTCGTGGCTGGTGGCCATGGCGGCCCACGCGGGTGGTCACAACCACCGAAGCAGAGCACGCAGTGCTTCCGCTGGAGCTTACTAGCTCCGCTACCAATGTCAGTGCAGTTGTTTTCAGCAAAGACCGCGCGGCAGTCCAACTGCGGGTGCGTCCCAGGGCCCTAGGACTAGGGCCAAAACAGCGGCGGGCAGCGTGCATGCCACAAAACAAGACAAGCGTGTACAACATACACACATGGTGGCACGGGCGGCAGAGGGGCAGGGGAGTGCACTCTTCACAATGATGACGAGGAGGGAGGGCGGGGCCCGCACCGACTCTGTGACATTCACGCTGCTGCCAGATGTGCCGGTGGCCCTCCTCTGCGCACCCGCCGCCTGGCCGAACTGTAGCTCGTTCCGGCCGCGCGGCCGATTCTGGCCACTCGAGGGGGGAGGGGGCGGGCGAGGAGGAACTGCAAGGAGGATCAGGGGGGAGAAGTCCCGAGGTCGATGCGGTTTTCAAAAAATCTGCGGGCCAAGCGCCAGCGCCGCCTCTCTTTGGGCGCCGTGTCGCGCATCGCAACCCCAACGACTCTGCAAGAAGGAAAAAAAACGACAATGGCCCCGGGCTCAGGCGACGAGAAAATATAAAATTATATTCACACGTATGCGCGTGTCTCCTCAAGTGCACAGGTGCCCATGGCTGCCGGCCGGCACCGCACCAGAGGCGCGCCGCTAATACCACTGGCCGTCGGCCGGTACCAGGCGCATTACGCGTGGACCTCCACTCTGGACACGGGCACCCCAGGCCGCCCCTACTGGAACTCTTGGCCGGTGCCGCCCCGGAGGTGCAATGAAGACCACGCCGTTGAGCCCACCTGGGAGTTTTCCGCGTAGCCCCACATGTCCGGGTGGAGGACGGGGGACGGGAGGTTGTAGAAGTCGGCGTCCCTGTTCTTGACCTTCCTGTTCTTCGCCTTGCAGACGTGGCCGCTGCAGTCCTGCCCTCGCTGGTCCGCGGGGGCCGTTAAACGGCGTAGCCAGTCAGCCACTGTGTTGACAGCGCCTGAAATGTGAACGACGGTCAGGTTCGATGTTCTGGCGAGCTCGAGCGTGGCCGCGAGCTCGGCCGCCATGAAATTCAAGACCTTGTTCGGGGACGAAAGCTTCTGCGCCACACCCTGTGCAGCCATGGAATCGACACGGAGGTCGAGCGTAGCTGCCGCACCTTTCAAGAAATGTGCCCATGCTCTGGTAGAGACAAGTATCGCCAAAAATTCAGCAACTGCCTGCGCAGTGGACGAGCCGATGGCGATTCCCAGTTGCGTCACATCAGCGGCGCTTAAATCGGAGGCAATGTACTCGATAATGATGCCGGCGCTGTTGTCGAACAGCGTAGCCCCGATGCCCCAAGGAGAAGCATCCGTGGTAATCGAGAACCTGGGCGGCCCCGGGTGCAAGCAGACCTCGCGCACCCTGGCGGTGCGGCAGCCCTGCCAGACAGTGAGCAGCCAGGTAAATGCCAAGCGGCCTCTTCGGGCGTCCACAAGATGGCCCTTCGGCCGCCGGTCCCGGCGCTGAGTTCGTCGCCTCTCCTCTGCGCCGGACGCGGCGTCACGGGCAGCAGAGGAAACGACAGCCCACATAATATTGACAGCCCGCCTGGTCCTAGGGAGGACCCCGGCTGCCCAGGACAGCTTGCCGACCAGCTGACGTAGCCTTCGGAGGCCGATCATACTTGCCCCGTTGCAATGAGAAATTTCGGCGGTCAGCTCGGCAAGAAATTTGTCCAATACCGTGAGCCGCACAGTCTGAGCAATCATGGCCGCCGATCCACTCACTCTACGAGGGCCCCCATCTGGCCTTTGCCCCACGAGAGCGACACTCCGAAAGCAATAAATGTCCAGATTCCCATAGCAAGACAAAATCTTTGCGTGTATGGCGACCCTGTCAGGGCCCACAACGGGTCGTCCATGTACAGCTGCAGGCGGGCCTCGCCGGGGATATACATGCCTTGGATCAGCCGGGCCATCGCCGCAGCCAGCCGCCCCCACAGCAGCGGCGCGGATTTTAGCCCGAACGACATCATCACCCACACCATGACAACTGCTGAGCGCCAATCCCGTGTCAGACAATGTCGTAACTCGGCGGGATGGACACGGAAGTGCTGATAGGCGTCCCGCATGTCAGCAGATGCCAGCAACACGCTGTTTTCCATCGCCGGTGCTGCCGGGACCATCGCCCGAAGGTCGTCGATGACATCCGCGACGCGCGGAAGCACCGGCCTCTCTGGGACTGTCGCTCTGGCGTTCTGCCCGCCCCGCAACATATCGATTATGATGCGGCGTTTCACGCTCCCGTCGCCCTTCTGCTTCAGGATCAATGCGAGCCTGGCAACGGAGCCGTCCGGAAAGCGTTTCAAGGCCTCCGCCTCCTCGAAAATGAAGAAGAAGCCGTTCCCCTCTAGCCTGTCGAGCTCCGCCTCGGCATCCGCCGGGCTGTCGTCGAGGCTCGAGTAATTGCCGACTCCAGACGACAAGGCCTCCTCCAGCGTCAGCAGGTGCCTGTCCGACGCGGTCGGCTCCACGGGAGGGAAAATCCCGCATGGAACAATCGGCTTCTCAATGCCGAGCGGGACGCCTTGCTCTATCCAGTCCTGGAGCTGGCTCTCCGCGTCGCCCGCGGCCTCGAGCCACGTCTGAATGAGGGCGCCCTGCAGGGGGGAGCGCCGGCCGAGCTCGTAAGACAACTGCCGCTCTTCCGGGGCGCCGAAAACAGACCGGAATCGACGGCGCAGGTCTGCGACGCTCTCCTCCGGAGGGCCCGCGTACTTGGGGTTGCCCAGCATGTCGACGACGCCCAGCGCGTCCGGCCGCTCCTCCACGAACGCGGAGAAGGCCGCCCGCGCCGCCGACCCAGCCCTAGCAAGGCCAGGATTGAGACCAACGGCCCGCGCAGGACAGCGCATGCCGCCGGGGAAAGTGCGGTTCTCCATCTCCCTCGCTGCTTTGCGCGACGGCTGGCCAGCGAGCCCGGAGGGCGGCGGCGGCTGGGCGGCCGGCAGCGAGACTGCCCGCGGGCGCGGGCGTCCCCGGGCCAGCATGCACTCCCAGTGGGCCCACTCGGCTCGGATCGTGAGCTGCCACACCCGCACCACCAGACTGGCGTACTGGTCGCACAACGAGCGCGGGTACGCGCTGCTGGCGCGCCCCGAGGCTGACGACGTTGACGGCGGGTGCCAATCGTGCTGACACTCCCCAGAAAGGGAGGCGAGCCCCGGGAGCCAGCCTCGGATCGACACGCGCAGTCCGCTGTCCACGTCCCAGCGGCACAACGGGAACGTCGCGACGTGGGCGTCCTGCCGCGGCCAGTCTACGAGCCCCAGCGCCGCGCCTGGTTTGATCTCGACAGTGCGGGTCGCCTGGGCCAGCAGGCGCCTCGAGGCAGACGCCGCCGCGGCTTCCAGGGGCGAGACTAGCGCTGCTGCGCGGGCGGCTGCCTCGGGGGCGCCACCGGGGGCGCCGCCGTGGAAGCCGTCGGCGTCCCCCGACGCGAGATCCGCCCGCAGGCCGTCGAACCTCGCCCTGGCCGCGTCGTGCCAGAAGTGGGCGGCAGCCAGCCCGACCTTCGAGGCCTCTGCCACGACGGCCTCACCGATGTTGCAATCCGCGGAGCCCGACAGCCAGTGGTGGAAGGCGAACGATCGCCGCTGCCAGAAAGCCTCCTTGGACGGGTGCGTCTCGAGGAGCGCAACCACTTTCGGCGGAAACAGGGACCAAGGTTCGGCCAGCATCGCTTCTCGAGGTGGGCCGGGCGCCGCTGCTGGCGCCCCCAGTTGCCCGCTACCCTCGGCCAGAGAAGCGTGTCCTTGTAGTGAAAGGCAGCCCAGGGGCGCGGCGGCCACGCCTGGGCTGGGCGCAGTAGGTACTCCGACCTCACGGGGGCCTGCGCGCGGTGCACCCACCGCCCCCGCGAGGCCGCTGCAGGGGTCTACCCCTTCCACCGCTTGCCCCCGCGGCCCTTGCCGCCGCCGGAGCCGCCCTTGTCTGCGCCCTTGCCGCCGCAGCCCTGGCACTTCTTCTCGTGCCCGGCGTGGTTCGGAGAGAAGCACACATGGCAGACGCGCCGCCTCCCGGCGGGGCACCTCGAGCCCGGCGCGGCCAGGCGGCAGGCGCCGAAGCCCTTGGAGAACTGGAAGCATACCTGCTTCTCCCGCTCCTCGCCCCAGCGGCGGGGCGAGCGGCTCCTCTGCTGCCCGCGGTGGCCGCTGCGCGGCGGGGAGCGCGCCCGGCGGCTGCGGGAACGCTCCTGGCGGGCCGGCGGCGAGGCGGGCCGGCCGGCGCGCCCGTCTGCCCGGGCGGCGTAGCGACCCCAGCCGGTAGGCGCGACTGCGCTGGCGCCACCCGGAAGGATCCGCACGGCGAGCCGCTCGTCTGGGTCCAATGGGACGCCCTTGCCACCTTTGGCCGCCCAGGCCGTCGCCGGGTTCGTGACCTGGTCGTTCCAGTAGTCCCTGTCGGCCGTCGCCAGGTAGAAGAGGGCAGTCCACGGCTTGGCCGGGCCCCACTCCCTCGGCGCGGGCTTCCCCGCAGAAAGATCCGCGCGCACCGAGCGGCGAAGGCGCTCGATGTGGTCACAACGGAGCTTGTCGTCCGCCATGTAGACGAGGTGCCAAGCCTCCGGCCACAGCGCGCTCAGCCTCTCGATGTGGCGGGCGCAACCGTCGAGCGCGGCCCTGGCGACAATTCCGAGCATCAGGCAGGCCGTGGCGAAGACCCGCCAGGCCGCCTGCCATTGCTCGAAATTCGCCGGGCCCGGGAGCTCCCGGGCCATCCACCCGCCCCCAGGCAGCGGGAGCCACGCCCGGAACTTCATGTTCCGCCGGACCTTGCGGTCGAAGGGCCCGAAAACGCCGAAATCGGCGTATGGCGTGGAGTGGAGCTCGCGGGTCCGGTGATCCAGAAAAACGAAGAGAAGAATCCAAAAAAAACCAAAAAAAAGACCCCCCAAAAAAAGCCAAGGTAAAGCCAGAAACACCAAACCTACCATAAAAGACACGCTCAAACCAAAAAGAATCCAAAACAAAAGAAATAAATAGTGAGCCGCTTGAGCTGCTCGAGCGACGGCTGGTCCTCTGGCACCGGCTGCTCACCGCCAGTGAGTGCTCCGTAGTTCTGGCTCCACTTGATGTGCATGTTGTCGTCCGCGAGAGGAATCTCCAAGGCGTCGCCTTGGTCCAACACCTCTGCCATCTTCACGATGCGGCCCTTGGCTGCTGCGGCAGCCGGGGCGGCCGGCGGCGCCGTCGAGGCCGGCGGCGGCGCGAACGGGTCCACATCGATGTAGTCATCCCACGCTGCCGGGCCCCCCTCGGCTGCGAGGGCGATCTGGCGCGCCAGGCGCCACACAAGCCCCCACTGCACTATCTGAATTGGGTGGAGCGCTGCGCCATTGAGCTTGGCGTACGTTCCCGCCGCAACGATCGCATCGGCCGGGAGGAGTGCGACGTTGCGGATGTTGCTACCAAGATGGCCCACGACTTCCTCGAAGGCCTTGAAAGCGTCGATGTTGAGGCCGGCCCATGTGACCAGCTCGCTGATGCTTTGCCACGCCATGGCCTCGGCCCTCGTAGGGAACAGCGCCATCGCACGTGCACCCCACCTGGCAAGACCGCGATGGAATGGGAAAGAAGAGAAGTAAGAGAGGAAGAGCAGGAGGGCTGTGTCCGGGCGCAGCTCGGGCCACAATGGCCACGGCGCCCTCGGCATGACACGCGAAGCCCCCCCTACCCTCCATGGTTGGGGCGCTAGGGGAATGCCAGGTTCTTCAATTACTCCGTAATTTTCATAACCCGAGATCATTGACCACATGCCGCTGGCCCTCGAAGTCCCAGCCGAGCCCGCGCTGCGCGAGCAATGCCACGTCGCTCGGGGGCGCAGCCGATCTCCACGGGTGTCTCGTTTTCTGAAACTTGGCCATGGAGCGCTGCGCCTTGCCGGCCAGGACCTGGGCCTTCGGGGCCGATTCCCAGACAGCCGCGACGGGCATCTTGGACCCCAGGCTGCAGGTGCACATGCGGAGCCCGACCGAAGCGCCTCTGGGGAGCTCGCCGAGGGAACTAGCTGCACCAACGCGCGGGCCCGCTATCTGGGCAGGGGCCAAAGGGCCGCAGCAGCGGTGCCCATTCGATGAACCATCCCGATCTCCGCTCCAGCCTGCTGCAAAATCTTCAACCTCCTGGAACGAGCCGACGACGAAGCTAAACGAGCACTCTGGGCGCCGACCCTCCTGACCCCGCCCAGCGCCGCGTTGGCCCCGAGATTCCCAGCGGCGTTCGCCATGCACATGGGAGGGGGGCTCCAAAGCTGAGAGAAGAGCTCTTCAACGTCCCGAGAGCATAGGTAGGCGCATTTCTTGTACTCCACTGGCAGCGTCAGCTGCTTGAAAGATTTAAAGAGAGACCCCGCTCCACCTACTAAATGCAAAACGACCTGGACCCTTGGACAGCAGCACTGCAGGGTAATGTCGTCGACGACATTTCTCAGGTAAAGCGAGTTCCGCTACTCCCTGGCCTCCAACAACGGGCCGAACAAAAACATCTCAGCGAACGTCGTGGCTTCCGAGTAGCCGGCGATAATCGCCCCATTCGACTCGACGACCTGAGAAGCCACCCTTCCATGGAGCAGCGCGCAGAAGCCAGCGTAGATGGTGCCATGCCCTCTCATGAGCCTGACTGGGAACCCGAACCTCATGGCAGCCCCTAGCAGATGACCGCAGGCAACATTCTCATTGAACGTAGCCGAGCCCAAGAGCGCGGAAGCCGATTCGAAGCCTGCTTTCCTACAGTGCGCACCGAACAGGTTGCGAACCCATTCAGCTCACTCGCAGGGAGTTTCTGGCCCCGAACCCCAGAAAAAAAAGTCGAACGCGCGGGGCTTCCCCCACGATCTGCAATATGGCTGCCGGAGACGACTCTAGAGCTTTATGAAAAAAAGAGTTTTATAAATATATATTTTTTTCTTTTTTTCTTTTTTTTTTTTTTTTTAAAAACAAAAAAAAAAAAAAAAAAAAAAAAAAAAAAAAAAAAAAAAAAAAAAAAAAAAAAAAAAAAAAAAAAAAAGCAGCCCGATGGGCCCGACCGCGCCAGTCGGTGCGTCCAGGAAAACATTGTTGGGCATGTAAAGGACAATCGCCCCAGGATTGATCTCGAAAAGAGCCAGGGTTTCCGACGAGCGAAACTGATGACTTTCAGGCAGCTGCAGGACCCTTTCGGGGTGGAAGCCGCCCCAGCCCAGACCCGCCGAGGGCCCATAGTGCTTGCGCGCCCTGCAAAGATCACCCAAACAAAGGGGCGCTAGGTCAGGCTCGTCGGGCGGGATTTCCCAAGCATGCGGGAGGGCCTGAGACCACATAGGCTGCCAAACGTCAAGAAATTGCTGAAGAGCTACCCGACCAGCCACAGGAAGAGCTGGACCGTCGTTGCCTCCTCTGGCACAATTCATAACCTGCTGCTTCGAGAAGGCACGCGATGCCTTGCCCCCCCAGCGACGGATTTCATGGTCAACTCCTTCCACGCGGCCAGCTGCGCAGCTGCACCCTGCTTCTTGCGACGAGAGCATCCTGCTTCGACTTCAGAAGAAAATCGCAACAGGCCCCAAAGCCCGCCGCCGCAGAGACCTGGGAACGCAACTCGCCCTGATTCGGCCCCTTCGGAGACCAACTCTGGGTCCAGATACATGTCACCTAGCTTGAGGTTCCAGGTGCCCAATAGATGCCGACCCTCGGCTCCAGGAGACCTTTCGTCGATGGCTCCGGCTTTCCGAATCGAGCGATCCAAGCGGTGGTCTGCCGCGAAATGCGACGACGACGATCGCGCTCCGAGATCGAAGCCAGCGGGGCCCCACGTCCAGCGGAGCACCCAACGTACCCACGGGGGTCCTCGATAACATATCTGTCGACGAGTCTCTTCTCCGACTCCCCTCTCAGCAGGCCGCGGGCCCATTACCGAAGCGCCGAACGGCCTGAAACGCACCTGCTGGTCCACGACAGCAGACTGGCTGAGGTTCCTCATCCGCAGCAGCGCTGGACTGCAGGGGAAAGAAGGTGCTCCTGAGACTACCTGAACGTCTCGGGCACTCGAAGAGTCGTGAGTGACCAACTCATCTCCTTCATCTTCTCCCTTGGACGTCCTAGGAGCACTCGCTGAGCAGGTAGGCTGACCTGGAACTGCCAGAGTGCCGTGCACTAGCTGAAGCCAGCCTGAAAGAGAGAGAGAGAGAGAGAGAGAAAAAGAGAGAGAGAGAGAGCTGCGGGGGTGAAGTTCCAGTCTCCTTGCACCACCCAGCACTTGCCTGCGGCCCCGAGATCGTGGATCAGATCTCTAGGCCCTCGTCGAACCCCGCGTTGAGCAACCGACCTACGATCCCCCCGTCGTACTTACCCAATCCAAGGTGGTCCAGAGGACGAGACCCAATGTCATCGACCACCAGGACCCCCACACCTCCAGAGCTCTGGAACGGATCAGGGCCCGTGCTGAGAGACGTCCCGAGGGACATGGTATACGGGGAACGGGGGGCGGAGGCGGTTGTGAGGGTCGTTGGGGTGGTAAGAGTGATCGTGGCGGTGGTCGAGGTGATGGTCGCCTGGGTGGTGGTCGTGCTGGACGTCGGCCGTGCTGGCTTTGATCGTTGTAGTCGTGTTGGTGGCCGACATGCTGGTGGAGCTGCAGGTCGCGGTGGTCGTGCTGGCGGCCTCCTCCTCCCTACTCCGCCACCTCCCCCTTATGCCTCATTCCTTCCCCCCTCGCCGCTGGGCCGCAGGGCCGGTGTCCGCCTCCGCTGGGCAGGGCCGTCGCGACCGCCGCCTGCAGCGACGCCGCCAAGGAGCTGCGCAGGGCAGCCTCCCAGTCCGGCGGCGCGCCAGCGGCGTGAGGCCTCGGGCCCCCGGAGGGGGGAGAGGGGGAGAGGCAAGCTAGGTGCGCTCGCGTCATATCTGACGTCCTACCCCTCCCTCCCATCCCTTACCATGGCGCTGATTTTCTCTATCCGCGGACGCGTGTCGTAGCGGACCTGTGGCTCCGCGCGCGCGTGCGTAACTAATGGGTGGTGGTGCGCGTGCGTGCGTGCGTGCGTGTGTGCGTGGTTGTGGTGGTGGTGGTGGTGGTGGTGGTGGTGGTGGTGGTGGTGCTGGTGCTGGTGGTGGTGTTGGTGGTTGTGGGTGCTGTGCTGGTGCTGGTGGTGGTGTTTGGTGCTGGTGCTGGTGCTGGTGCTGGTGCTGGTGCTGGTGCTGGTGCGGTGCTGGTGCTTGGTGCTGGTGCTGGTGTGTTGGTGGTGGTGGTGTGGTGGTGGTGGTGTGGTGGTTGGGTGGTGGTGGTGTGGTGGTGGTGCGGCGCGGTGTGGCGGCGGATGGCGCGCGAGAAAGAGGCCCGCGCTGGGGCGAGAACGCCATCCTCAACGACGGAGGCCCAAACACCGATCCGAAAATGAGGCCCACGCTGGAGCGGGAGAACGATTCGGAACGATTCGGGAGCAGAAATGAGGCCGGCGCCTCAGCGAGAGCAGCATTTTAGAAAAAAACGCAAGCGAAAACCCAACTCCGGGGAATCCTGTGTGTAAAAAAACAGTACGCGGGGGGGTGTCGAATATCTTCCGGACGCCATCAGGGGAAGTGGGAGAGTATTTTCATATTGTGTAATTGTCAAGGGGGGGGGCGGGCAGGACCTCGAGAGCGGGACAAGGGGAAAGGGCAGCAGGGGCGGAGCAGGGCGTGAGAGGGCCGCAGCCCCTGCGCCCAATTCCACGGGGGGGAGTCCATCGAAGGGAGGGAGATTCGCCCAGCTGGACGCTCGAAGCACAGAACTGAGTCACCAATTCGTCCAGCTCCCCCTCCAGCTCCTCTATCCTCCCCCGCTTCCTCCCCCTCCCCCGTCCCCCATCCTCCGCTCCGCTCCCATCTCCCATCGACCGCCCCCTCCGATGTCGCTGCCGTCGCCGTCGCCGCCAGCGGCGGCACGCACGGCGCGACCGCCGCCGTCGACCAGCTAGCCCGGAGAGTCCCTCCTGGCCTCGCCGGCGGCGACCGCGCGCCCCCGTGCTGCTCGGCCCGGGGCCCTGGGCCGCCGCATGCCGCGAGGCCAGAGAACAGCGCGCCAAGGGCCGCGGCGCTGGCCTGGCGCCAAGGGGGGGGGGGGGCGGCGCTAAGGGGAGGCCGGGGGAGGGTGGTGGGCGAGCGCATGGACGACCTCGTCTGCGACCGAGCAGGTGCGGCCGAACCCTAACCCCTCGGGAGGGTCGGCAAGGGAATTGCTCAGAGAAAGCAGCTGCTAGGGCAGCGCACGGTCGAGAAGGCCCATGGCTGCACTGTCCAGGAGTAGCCCCAGGCGGGAGTGGAAGGGGGAGGGAGCGACGGCACTATGAATCGGTTACCCACCTAAGGCACGGTGGCCGCGAGCGTCCACCGCGAGGGAGGAGATGACTATAGTAAGCCCAGGATGCATCGCAGATGCTGCAATATGCCCACGCGTCCCGAGTCTCCGACTCGTCTACAAGCATTCCTGTTCCCTGTGCCAGTGACCCCTGAAAGACGAGCGCCCCATGGTGCTGCATTACAGGGAGAACCCCGTTTTGAAGAGGAGCTGCCATCCATG